TAATAAAAGCATTTCGAGCTTTGAATTTCTTTAAACTAAAATGATTAAAAGTGCGCGAAATTAACTATGTATGTTTGCTGTGATAAGATAGACATTCTCATTTCGTGATTTTTACAAATATTGGAATATTATCATAAAGTTAAAACAAATTCGTTCCTAAAGATAGAGTATTTCCTCTCTCTGAAATCGACATATATGTTCAATTAATTATCAATAATATTTGTTTTAAACAAAACTATGCTTTAATGAATATTTAATGACGTTTGTTGTTTTATTTGTAAAAATAATAAGGATGATATCGTTGGTTTCTTTGGGACTTTCTACTTTATATTATTGTAACGACGACGAAAATGACAATGATAAATTGGAGGCGGAATATCTGTGAAGAAATTATCCATGCTAACTACCACCTAGGAACATACAGAGTCGGGTTCACGCTTCAGCGGGAGAGTAACGCTAGAACGGTCAGAAAAACCAGACGCATTCAAAGCCAGATTTATTTATTTACCAAACTAGAATTTGTTTAAATAAATACAAATACGGCAACACTGAGGTTATTGATGAATGTGGCCCGGCACGTGTTATCTTAAGTTCCTTCTGGACCATGAGGTCTGCCTAATTATACCAATTATATAGAAATTAAGCATCATTTGGTAATGTAAACATAGCTCTCTAAGGGACCTTGTTCTGTTTGATGAGAAGTACACGTGCAAATTGTAAACACACGTGTTAAACGCTCCTACACATAAGGAATATAAAAGTTTAAGCATTTCTCGTGATCATAGTTGTTTCACATAAACTTAATATGTTTCCATCATTGTATCTCGGATTTAAGGTCTTAATTGGATGTATTAACCCGATTTATCTATCCTCAATCTGGTTTCCATCCCCAGTTGTTTTCTATCCTCAGTGTTAGTCTGGTCTCAGTGTTAGTCTGGTCTCAGTGTTAGTCTGTTTTCTATCCTCAGTGTTAGTCTGGTCTCAGTGTTAGTCTGGTCTCAGTGTTAGTCTGGTCTCAGTGTTAGTCTGTTTTCTATCCTCAGTGTTAGTCTGGTCTCAGTGTTAGTCTGGTCTCAGTGTTAGTCTGGTCTCAGTGTTAGTCTGGTCTCAGTGTTAGTCTGGTCTCAGTGTTAGTCTGGTCTCAGTGTTAGTCTGGTCTCAGTGTTAGTCTGTTTTCTATCCTCAGTGTTAGTCTGGTCTCAGTGTTAGTCTGGTCTCAGTGTTAGTCTGGTCTCAGTGTTAGTCTGGTCTCAGTGTTAGTCTGTTTTCTATCCTCAGTGTTAGTCTGGTCTCAGTGTTAGTCTGGTCTCAGTGTTAGTCTGTTTTTTTATCCTCAGTGTTAGTCTGGTCTCAGTGTTAGTCTGTTTTTTTTATCCTCAGTGTTAGTCTGTTTTCTATCCTCAGTGTTAGTCTGGTCTCAGTGTTAGTCTGTTTAGTCTGTTTTCTATCTGTTAGTCTGTTTTCCTCAGTGTCAGTCTGTGTTAGTCTGTTTCTATCTCAGTGTTAGTCTGTCTAGTCTGGTCTCAGTGTTAGTCTGGTCTCAGTGTTAGTCTGGTTGTTAGTCTGTTCCTCAGTGTTAGTCTCCTCAGTGTTAGTCTGTTTTCTATCCTCAGTGTTATCCTCAGTGTTAGTCTGTTTTCTATCCTCAGTGTTAGTCTGGTCTCAGTGTTAGTCTGTTTTTTTATCCTCAGTGTTAGTCTGTTGCTATCCTCAGTGTTAGTCTGGTCTCAGTGTTAGTCTGTTTTTTTATCCTCAGTGTTAGTCTGTTTTCTATCCTCAGTGTTAGTCTGGTCTCAGCGTTAGTCTGGTCTCAGTGTTAGTCTGTTTTCTATCCTCAGTGTTAGTCTGGTCTCAGTGTTAGTCTAATTTCTATCCTCAGTGTTAGTCTAGTTTTTATCTCCAGTGTTAGTCTAGTTTTTATTACCAGTATTAGTCTAGTTTTTATTACCAGTGTTAGTCTAGTTTTTATCTCCAGTGTTAGTCTAGTTTTTATTTCCATTGTTTGTCTGTCCTGTTTTGTTGGCTCTATCCTATGAGGTGAATCATGTTTGTGTATGTGTTACTTCTGTAGTTTTTATGTACTCATTGGACATTGTATTGTATGAATGGATTTTGTTTGTCTCATATACAGATATTTTGAGATTGCAGCGGTTTTGCGTAAGTGGTAGGACTTTGTTAATTTTGTATGCTTTTTATTTCCGTTTGTCGTACGTGTGTAGTACACGATCATGTGTACGCGTGTAGTACACGACACACGATCATGTGTACGTGTGTAGTACACGATCATGTGTACGTGTGCAGTACACGATCATGTGTACGTGTGCAGTACACGATCATGTGTACGTGTTTAGTACACGATAATGTGTACGTGTTTAGTACACGATCATGTGTACGTGTGTAGTACACGATAATGTGTACATGTGCAGTACACGATCATGTGTATGCGGGTAGTACACGATCATGTGTACGTGTGTAGTACACGATCATGTGTATTTGTATAAATACAAGTTGTAATAGGTTTTATTATCTAATTTCATATATTTCTCCTTCATTAAATTCCATCTAAACCATTCGCAACGAAACAAAAAGAAAAAAGATCAGTTTTCATTTCAGTTATGTTATGTAAAAAGCAAATAACAACAAAAGATGACTGAAAACTAATTCAGCGAGTAAAAGAGAGTTTTATCTATCCAATGGCTTACTTGTCAAAAACAGGTCAGAAAATCATTGAATTCAATGAAATAGTAACTTTTTCTGACATTTTATGATTGGCAACGATAAAGACGTCAAACGTTATGCACTTTTTGTGTTAGAATAACAATACATGTAGGTTTTGTAAGGCGCTACCAAACCTTCCCGTACGCCTAAATAAATACTTACTGTTATTTTGAACGGACCTGGAAACCGTATTGACAGTTAAGAGGCCATATGGGACAAGAGGGTTGGACTTATTGACACGTTGAGACAATAAACACCTGTACGAGAATCGGTAAAGAAGATATAAGCTGAATCCTTGAAAATCCCCCGCCATTACAAGTGATGTCAGACTGTTGTCTATTTCCCGCCGGAACAGGAAGTTAAGCCGTGCACCAAGCCCCAAGACGTGTTAACACATTAATCATAATTAGAGGTCGAGCGAAGCACGTTCTGACGATCGCGAGACAATTGATCTGGAGGGTTTGTAACAAGAGAATTCAGGGTCCCTCCCTTTCCATGTAGAGGAGAGGATTTCCAATTAATTAGGCCACAATACAGGATTTTATAGCCAAGTAGACAGCAAACCCGTCTAATAATAATACTTTACGTCTGGTCTAAACGGCGACTCACTACAGAAGAACCAACTGTCACTGAAACAAATCCAGATATCGAACCAGGAAATGATTATCATCGAAACAGTTACTGATTTCTCATTTATAGCAAAATAAAGACGAATTCACATCATGCCTTAATATCATATCAAGTTCTTCCTAATATTAAATTAATACATATTATTATCACACGATTGCAGTATTCTATTTAAAAAAGTGAAAACAAGCATATTATGTCAAAGAAAATATTTTTTAACGTGACATCATTTCCAATAATGACCGCGGCGAAACGCGTCGTTTACATTCGATAAAGTGATTTCTCACCAAAACCAATAAACAAATGCAGAACTTACTATCGGTACTATTACAACATATCTTTCTGTCCTAATGATTCCTATATAAAACCTAACACATTACGCTATAAGCCGATTCTGAAGATACTGACACAAGGACCTATGTATAGAACGAAATCCTCTCAGTGATAGATCTTCTTTCCTTCAATGACGCTTTGTCTAGGGATGTCAGTATAAAGCCACTGTGTTTGATCAGATACCTGTAGGTGTTTGGCATTTCATTGATGTGATATAACATCAAATAATGGTAATTTGTTTAATCAATTAACACAAATTTGTTGTCCATTATCGAATTTCGTGAGTTTGTATGTAAACAGATTGCTGAAATGTCGGTTCTGTCGATACATTTGGTCCAAAGTCTGTAAGCGAATACAACCTGCGACAGCCCCGTGGCCTTGCCAGCAGGGGCCATCGATTGGTTAGGGACTCGGAGGGCACCTGCCAAAGGGGACAGCCCGTGCGCGTGCTATATCAAACACAAGTTGGGAACCCCGCGTGCTGGCGTTATGGCGTTAATCGGCACAGATCCTCCTAACCCATCAGACATGTGGAAAACAGGACAGAACCAACAAGTGTGTCTTTGATAAGCCTACATATTATCTTTGTAGTGTTGTAAGTTAAGGTAGGGGGCTGCATTAACTTACATGTATCGTGCTGAATAATCAAAAGTTGCCTTACTCTCTCATTACTACTCATTGTATTAATTACATAACGGCCGGGACAGTGGGAGCCTATAGTTATCAAAATAGTTAGCATGGTCGTGAAAAATAGAAATATATGTATCATTGCCTGGAAATTATGGCTAACTTTGAAAATCCCTTTAATTCAGTTTAGATGTATCTTGAGTATTATCAACAATTCTATGTTGTGTTATAACCTAACAGCAGATCGAAATAACAAAAAAAAAAAAAAAAAAAATCGTTTTGGATTCTTCCATTGAAAGAAATATATTACATTTGTGGGTAATCCTGTGGAATGAAGTTGTGACAATTGGCGGTGTCCGTCCGGATGGTGTACCGTCTTATATTGGTTTAAGACTTTTACGTGTTGAGAAAGTATTTAAGTGAATGTAGTTTATCAACAGAAGTCAGTAAAGGTCATATCTATGACTGGTCCACAGCCGACCACTATTTGTTTAGTGGCCTGTAGTGGGTCAACACTCAACCTCGTTTGACATTTGTCTACAATGAAACGTTTCAAGCATACTTTCGGAAATTGATTAAATACTCAAGTCTTTGTTTGAGTAATATACTCTTAGCAATAAGGAAGTAAGACAATTATAATTACAGACAAACAGACAGACATATGACAATAGACGGACAAGCGGACAGTGGCCTACCTTGACTTGACTTTCTGACATCCCTAAAGCGTACGCAAGTCGCGCGCGCTCAGGACCCGCTAGGTACTTCGTCTGTTCGAATGTTTTCTCTAGAGCAAAAATCTGTTGCCCAGAAAATGTTGGTCTCGTGTGTTTCTTCTTTCCATCCTTGTCCACTACTACCGAACTGTGACCTGTAACAGAAAGATGGTATTGTAATTGGTCTTTCAGATGCCAATACTTTCAACCAACATTCAAACCCAACAGTTACTCCAAAACAACCATCACCTACCACCAAAATTAAAATTATCTAAATCCAATTACGATCTATTGGAATAATTGCTATTTACTGCATCAAAGATGGACGTCCCAATTCAAACTCCTGTTTATAACCTAGTATTCCAGGAACTAGTGCACCAAAGGTGGACGTCCCAATTCAAACCCCTGTTTATAACCTAGTATTCCAGGAACTAGTGCACCAAAGGTGGACATTCCAATTCAAACCTCAGTATAAAACCAAGTATTCCAGGAACTACGTTCATTCTCCTCAAATAACAAACAATTTCCTGAACTAAAGGACAACATCACAAAATAATATTAACATCTAGGACTTTCTAGCCCTTCAGAATCACAGACTTATTTTCTTAACCAAATTAATCCTCTGTATGTAACCAACTGAATTTTCTGAACTAGTGACTAATGTCACAGCTTAACCCTGACCTTTACTGTCGACCATTTTAGATGTTACAAAATAAAAAAAGACACGATACTTTAAAGATTAACATGTTTGTCTTAAAATAAAGAAGAAAATCGACCGGAACACAGGTTTCCAGATCCCAAGGACAACATATGATGAAAAATATTAATAAATCATGTAAGATAATAAAGATCTGCTTCATTGCAAGCCTAGAATAGTTCACTGAAATGTACGCAATTTTATTAATAGAAACAATTGTGCCGCCAGTCACTTTCAAACTTGTGATCCGGAGACTTTGAGACGTCCCTTGTGTAGTATAGAATTCTCCTGATCACTGAAGAAGTTTTAATATCTTTGGTACGTATATAACGATATTAGTTACAGTAAAGTGACATGTCCAAATAACGTATTAATATAATGCGTTTGACTTAGAAAAAAGTCAAAAGTCATAATATTCATATTTGTCCTTTTAAACTGCACAACCTCTTTATAAAGTCACCATTGACCCATTAAACTCTCTTAATAAAGGGCATTAACCACGACATCTGATGAAACTAATGACGTTATATCGAAGTTGTTCTGGCATTTCAATGTGGCTTATTAGCTGCTTAATTCAATACCGATTTGAACAGTTCATTATCAGTTCCATATTTCCTCTTTTAAAAGCCATTTAGGTCCCAGTTAATCGCATCTCTTTACAATGACATTTAAAATCGTGTATTGCCGAATCAGTTCGATTCCATTTGAGACGTAAACGGACAGCCCCCACCACCCACCTTTTCCACAGACTGTATCAGGACAAGGACGATGTTTACTCTGTGAGTGAGAGACGTTGATAGTTGTGAGAGACAAGATTAAAGATAAATACCCTAACACTGCCGTTTACCATTAAATACATCGATTGCCGTCGTGGCTCACAGACATCGCACTGTCAGGAATACATATCTACATATTAGGGAATGAAATAGTCTGACAGTGTTAACATCAATATCAAATGTCTGTCTGATGATGGAACGACACCAGTCAGGGAAGAAAAAGAGGAAGAAAAACGAGAACATATCATTTTTGTAGTTAGTGAAAACATGTTTTGCTTTTTTAATGTCGAAAATTAAAACACGAATAATTTTGAATATTTCATATTTACTCAATTCGACAGGTAACATATTATATCAGAAATGTTAATGGTTTATGTCAACTTATATCATTTAACACATCGTCACCAAACTTGTCTATAGAAACGATTTCCACACGGATATTAAAAGCCAGCGAATATGTAAATATCACAATTTTTTAAGACATAAATTAATTTTGGTTTTATCCCACTTTAAATTTAGATATCCTATTTCCGGATCCTGCTAAGTGTATACACGTCATGTTGACGTCGGAGTAGTATAGGTTCACTTCACTAAATTATTTTCGTAACGATTATGACCAGGGTAGTTACCAAACACGTGTCAATTTCCCAGGTAACTGTTTACCTGTAGTAACCAGGTGGAAAATTAATTACAGGTACAAAACAAATACACCTCCGTAATCTCCTGCGACTGACACTGACCATACAGTCCATAAACCTGTCAGTCATTTATTCTCGTGAAGAAATCGGCCTCTATAGTAAGTTTTCCTTGGTATTTAAAACATGAAAACGGCCGAGATTAGCTAAAATAACATTGAATTACCATCGCTACATCAAACGAGAAACTGTTTAGGGGTTCAAAACGATAGTTCTGGACAAAGAAAAGTATAAAATATCTTGGAAATATTTTACGGCAAAAACATTTTAAGCGTTTGAAAAATAATAACAATTGATATCAATTCAGTCTCGCATTAACATTCACTTTTTTGTATTGGTTTTTACAATAAAGTTTATTTTATTTTTATGTTTTTCCTGTTTACAGAAATATGCATATCAGCTAAATGTGCCGACGTTACAATCTAACAGAGAAATAAATCACAGATGTGAAAACGATTTTATTGTAGAAATATTCTAATTTCAACTCGAAACAAAGAAAAATACTTAACTAGCTGTCTTCAACACTGAGTAAGTCGTTATATTAAAAGATTGACAGATATATTTCATTTGTTGGTGACGAAATATCTGCGAAGCATTTGGCAATACTATTAGGGGCTGTAATATTACGATTATGTTAACGGCTGACAGTTGTTAAAAAAGTTTAATACATATTTGTGTTTACGGAATTTATATGTGAAAAATGCACACAAGATATTTAAACAAGAAAATAATTTGGTTTTATTTTTGCATGGTGTATGGAAACAGAGATAAGAATGAAGGCATATAGCCGTACAATACTGTATTTATTCAGCAATAGAATAGAACATTCTTTGTGACATCTGGCTTACACATTAGGACATCTAGAATAGCTTTAAGGCGAACAACTATGTTGTATCATAACATAATTATTTGTGTGTATGTGTGTTTTTTTTAAATGTAGTTGATGGTGCCAAGTTCGTTCAGACATACATGAACACGGTATACTTCTATTTGCCAATTTACGAGGCACTACTTAGTTAGAGAATTCAGTGTTACGTAGACTAAAGTGAAATCTAAAATAATGATAATAAAATCTCGAATGAAATTTGTGGTGTGTAAATTTTGGTTGTTTTTATATGTAGATACAATTCCGACTGATATCAACTGAAAAGGAATTCTGACCCTTTTTTCTTGATAAAACTGGTCCTTGTGTATGAGAATGATTGTGTTGGAGTGGCTTTGACAGTTGGGCTGTTCAACTTTATGTCAGATGAGATTCAGTACGGTGATTAGAAGGGTACTTTATCTGGTGTTTGTGTGAAACAGTCTTTAATTGTTGTTGTCTAAATACGGGACGACAAGTCTATAATCACCCTACACTTACACCTTGTGTACCGTTAGGGACGAGACTTACCCGGGAACCTCGTGGCTACCCCGACAACCAACCCCGCCGACTGGAATCGGACCCGACTCCCCCATATATATCTAACGACATAAACATACCACTTAACAGATCCTCACCAGCACTTATAGTCCTTGTGGATACTTACATTTTACATGGGCACTCGACACTTAACATTCATACTAAAGTACCGTGCATAACAGATGTTCTTTAAAAACAAAAACCCTAAAAACCGAATATTTTGTTTTTTAAACATTTGATTTGCCCCAGAAAAATGTTGAAATATCAACAGAGTCTATTCTATAAAATTGCGTTTTCATAGTTTTAAACACATGATTCTTCTTTTTCGACTTTAGAAATTTATCAATTAATCAATCACAAAATTTGGTTAAGTAGATTCGTGTTTTATCATTTTTGCTCTCATTGAAAACATTGGACGCGGCTAAAAACATCACAATCAACAACCAATTTTTAAACCGCTAATATTAAATAAACTTGCATGATAGAATAAATTTTGATGAAAGACAATCAGTGTCCGGCGAAAAATAGTCATTAGATCTGCTCGTTTCAATTTTTGAAGACAAAGAACAATTCAAATCTTCTAAACACTTTCTTGTCGTTTTTTATATCGGGAAAATCAAAGGTGTATATCATAGATGATATAATCTGATGCTTTGTTATTTGAAATTTGTTTGATATGTACAAAGTAATTAGTGTTTTAGGTGGTTGGTATTTAATAAAGGTTATACAGTATTGTATTTTCTTGATATTTTATCTCGTAAGAAAAAAAAGTATTTTTTTTGTAAGTAAATATTTTCATATACAAGTTAATAGTGTTTTATATCTAAGTAATATGTTTTATATGTAATTTGATAGTGTTTCAGTGGGTAATATATTTTATTTTACGCCAGTAAATAGTGTAGTGTTTAAGTAAGTAATAGATTTTATATGTCAGTAAATAGTGTTTCAGTAAGTAATAGATTTTATATGTCAGTAAATAGTGTTTCAGTAAGTAATAGATTTTATATGTCAGTAAATAGTGTTTCAGTAAGGAATATATTTTATATGTCAGTAAATAGTGTTTCAGTAAGTAATAGATTTTATATGTCAGTAAATAGTGTTTCAGTAAGTAATAGATTTTATATGTCAGTAAATAGTGTTTCAGTAAGTAATAGATTTTATATGTCAGTAAATAGTGTTTCAGTAAATAATAGATTTTATATGTCAGTAAAGAGTATTTCAGTAAGTAATAGATTTTATATGTCAGTAAATAGTGTTTCAGTAAGTAATATATTTATATTTTATATGTCGTCAGTAAATAGTGTTTCAGTAAATAATAGATTTTATATGTCAGTAAATAGTGTTTCAGTAAGTAATAGATTTTATACGTCAGTAAATAGTGTTTCAGTAAGTAATAGATTTTATATGTCAGTAAATAGTGTTTCAGTAAGTAATAGATTTTATACGTCAGTAAATAGTGTTTCAGTAAGTAATATATTTTATATGTCAGTAAATAGTGTTTCAGTAAGTAATATTTTATATGTCAGTAAAGAGTATTTCAGTAAGTAATAGATTTTATATGTCGGTAAATAGTGTTTCAGTAAGTAATAGATTTTATATGTCAGTAATTAGTGTTTCAGTAAGTAATAGGTTTTATATGTCAGTAAATAGTGTTTCAGTAAATAATAGATTTTATATGTCAGTAAATAGTGTTTCAGTAAGTAATAGGTTTTATACGCCAGTAAATAGTGTTTCAGTAAGTAATAGATTTTATACGTCAGTAAATAGTGTTTCAGTAAGTAATAGATTTTATATGTCAGTAAATAGTTACAAGAATGTGATGGATTCCTAAGGACTGGCACTTAGTCACAGTTAGATTACATAATGAAATGTTTTACATTTTGAAATAATTAATTAACAAAAATATACTTGTACAACAAACTCGGCTTTGAAAGACACCTAGTTTCTGCAATCTGTTTAACAATTTTTTTCACTCCTTAAGAAAATATATCGGTTTCAGGGACATTCTGTAGAAACATACACGTACCACTTGCGCTCTGTGCAAATCCAAATTATGAGATATTTAAATTTTTTTCTGAAAACTATTTTGGATGTTGTCATCCCAAACTCACCCGAAGGTCGCCAGTTGCTACCGTTTATAACACCAGGCCAGTAAATTGGAGGTCGGCCCGGAAGTTCCGCTAACTTTGGCAGTCTTCCTTGCGAATTGAGGTACATTCCGGCCGCGTTCAGTCGAGAAAGTCCTAAAGCTGCCATGCTGGGGCGACTGAGGATGTCACAGATTCCATGAGGTGTACCATTCCATGACATGTGTTTCTGGGTAGCCTGCGAGTACCCGGATTGAGTTAGCATACTAGATGAGGAAGCTGGGGCCTTCATTTCCGTCATGTTATGAAGAGCTGCCAGTGGAGGACTACTTAATACAAAAGCAGGCTGACCTACCCGACTGTTTTCCATTCCCATATTTAGTAAGTTAGCCATGGTGGTGGGACTGGGGTTGGGATGGTATCCGGAATTCCCGGACCCTTCACTGGAACAGTAATCCAACATAACAACGTCCTTTCGGAATTAGACACAAACTGTCCGCTGATTGAGGGTTTAGCAGATGGTAGAATCCTTCTTTATCCGAAGAAATTTGTAAGGAAGACGATAACAACCGGAACCGGACAAATAGGAATACTAATAGAGGTTTGTTCTCAAAATAATCCTTTAAATTGTAGTTAAATATTGAAGTCAATGATTCTAAACCCAATAATATAGAAAGTCTCCGAGTTAATTTAGTAAAGTATAAATATAAATACACGTGGTATCTATAGATAGATTTATGTCCTGCATCATTATAGTGTCCAGACACTTAACGCTCTCGTTCGCCATGTTGACAACATTTTAGAGAATGTCGGAATGATTTAAGAAATGTTGTGATATCGTTGTTGTCCAATGGGTCGTTTTGAAATCTATTTTTGCACTTTAGCCCTGTGTTGGCCTTCACAGTACGACTTGCTGAAATATCCAGCGGATCGGTACTACATACATGGTATATATATCAAACGTTAGTTTCCCTTATCACCACCAATCCGGTATCTTCACAAGTTTGTATGGTGCTGTAGGAATGAACGGGAGGCAACGATCAATCACATATTATACAATGATTAATCACTTTTTAATGCCAAACAGAAAAGTCCCTCCCATACTGACTAAACGCGGCATGCGATTGGCTTAGCATCAAAGTTACTCGCACAGTCTTAATCGAAGGCGCGTTTTGATTGGCCAATCTCTGCATCCATTCTTGATAACGCGGACCTAACAGTAGCAAACCCTCTGTGATAAGTATATGGAGGATAGATTAAAATTAAACGGTCCCGATAGTACATATCAATTTCATGTAGACATCCATATCTTCAGTTTTTAATAATGACCCCCAATTCCTTGAGTGTTAAGTCTTACTTCGGGTGATATTAAATTGACAGGATGTTTTATCTGGCTGTGTTACTTACGTGCGTCTATAGGGAGCAGAGCCGTGTAATTATCTCTGTAATATCAACAAAGTAATAGAGTACGACTCAGCACGTGTTCGATATTATCCGACTAAAGGTTACGGCAATAAAACGCTAACCAATAAGTCAACAGAACGGTCAAGTGTCCGTTAATAAATTTATTTACACTGATAACGTAATGATTAATTACCTTGTACCAGACTCTGTAGTATTGAATTATAGTAAGAATAATTCGTAAGTATATTAAATATTTACACCAGATCTCAAACAATTAACTTCCGCTTTACATCTGTGTATATATAATGAATCTATAAATACCTTTATTAAGAATACGCACGTGCGGGAAGTCCATCTCCAAAAAGAAACAGAGCTTTAACGTCAATTTTATTATTATTTATTTTTAACAATATGTAAAAACAAGTTTGTTCTTGTTCCTTGTAAGAATTTCTTTCATAATGAAATAGCCCAAAATAACTGGAGTCATGGATCTGTGATGTAGTGTAATGTGTAATTTGGCATTTGTTTTTGATCAATATCAACTACTAAAGAAGTCATTTCAGCTTATTATCACTTTGGCTTTTATAGATCGGCATACTTGTGTCACTGACAAGAATTTATCCCAAAAGATTTTGTGCTGTTTCCCAACCCAGCGACATTTTTTACCATTATATCTTTTGGTAAATAATGTTGTTTTAGGATATCGTTGGCATAAAATATAGTATCATTTATAAAATATTTTTGATAATGTACATAATTGCTTTTAATAAAAATTGTATTATATTGTTGATTAAGCCTTACAGCTCATTAGTAAAACAGTTAGATACATAAGAATACAATGCACATGTACAATATCAGACTATCTTAACATACTAAATATTCAGATATTATTTAAACAATCTTACATTGTAGAAGACGAGAAGGGGAAAAAACAAAGCCAGACTGGTGGTCAGTTGAGTACATATAAGAGTATAAGGGTATAATAGGACAAATATTAATTGAATAGTGCCAGACAATATAATTGTACAGGAGGTAATTGGCAGAAGATACATGATAATTAAACAGCACATTAGGCTTGAAAGATTGAACGTAATAATAAATTCGATTGTAAATATTTGACTAGATAACTGAGTTTTTCCTGTTATTTATTGTAACTAATTTGATATTCAAAAATGAAAAAAAAGTTTGCTGATCAATTATTCAAGACCCCAAGAAGTTGAATATGTTTTGGTGTAAAAAAATGAACTAATATTGCCTTATTTTAACTCACACAACGAATGTTTTTTTTTTGTGTCAACATACCCAATTTCAGAATTCTAAACATGACGTTTAGATGAAGAACTATGGTCAAGATAGATAGTGATGGGATGGAAGAAAGATTGGGGTAGAAATGAACAATGTAATGTGACCTTAAATTGCAGTATGAATGTTCATGGTTTCAGGACAATATTTAAGGCAGTTTTATATATATATATAAAAAAAAAAAAACACAGACTATAACTTTGAATTGTGCAGACTGTAGTTTAATTCATTGTTTGGCTATACTGCATTTAAATCTTTACTGGTATGGAAATGGTTTTATTTCTAAACGTCATGTCAAGTATAAATTCCATAGCGTAGCAACATATGCAATGCCTAATAGATTAGGTTTGTACTAAAGCGGTACGTCATGTACATCAGTATTTTCAGTTTCTCCAGATAAATTTAGACAGTTGCTACATACAGATGCAAGACGATGTATTTTTGATATGTTTTGGTTGTATAAATAAACATATAGATGTATTGTATATATCTGTCTCATTTAAATAGCAGTCAAAACAAATTACAAGATATTACAATATGATCTGGATTCACAAATACCTGACGCACTATTTGTCCGGTATAACTTTGACTGTATCAACAAAAGACATATACATGATAAACACTTATACATATTAAATGTAGATGGCAACAAGATGTAAATTCATTTTAATGCAACACACATAAAGCAAGATACAATATCCCTGTATATTCACTTTCATTTTAAGTGTTATATATATCCGAAATTTTATTTTAAAAATATGTATGTGTTACAGATTTTGAAAAGAAAAAAAAAACAAACACGTTTATAACTGATCATATTGATGATATTGTAATCTATACCTAATATACATTATCTAATAATTTAATTAATTAGTTTTGAATTACAGCGAAGTACATTATATTCACTTAAATATAAAGCAATATTCATATAATATAAATACAAATTGCAACGAATTCATATTAAATACGAAAAACTCATAAAAATAAGTATCAACGAATTTAGTCATGACGTATATAATCAAACATTACAATTGATATGAATTTTAAAAATGAAATCATAGACACAAACTATAAATAAAATATCATTAGCTATAGAAAATACAAATCACACTGTTTTACAGTACAATCATCAAATATCGGCAAAATACCACGAATATCACACAAATTGTACAAGATGGAATTATATACGATGAAATGAAGACCATATTAAAATCATCAAAGAATTAAAGTACCCGTGATTAATTAAAAATATCTAAAACGTTCTTGGTGATGTATTTTTAAAACAGGGGTTGGCTTTATCAACAGAATTGACTACATCTTAGTTTAATTCTGTTAGGACAGAGTGATAAACTAAAGATACCATATTAACATATTAATATTGTCGTACATTTTCTACCACTAAAGATAATATTCTAGGATTGCTTTTCAAGGCGAAAACGTGTTTTTGCAACTTTCTTTCGTGTTTTCTGAAATGAAAAACATAATCGCTGAAATGTATTTGTTTTGATACAGGCTTATCATGAATCTGAAATAACTTTTGGACTTTATGATGAATTGGAAAAACAAGATTTTGTTATTTATTTGATACGAGAGTTGCCAATGTCTACACGTCTGTTCGATATACAACACATGTATGCTTCACGCAGGGTGTGATCTTCTTCAAACACGGACAATGTCGGAAAGCCTTTTGATGGAGGAAAGATTGGACACAGAGCAGAAATAGAGTTCTGATCCTGTGTATAAAACCCAAATAAAATATCCCGTGCTTTTAAAAGTATCAGATGTTTACGTATTCCGGGACGGGTCGACAGTAATATAATTTATACTTTCTCATCTGTTTTAATCTTCTTGTTCATAAAACAATTTTAAATTTTCAATATCGGTATTTTACTATTGACTGGAGTTTGGAAGACGTTTAAGATTCTCACGCCTCTGCTTATAAACCTGTCACAGACTTATAATTGATGACAGTATAATTCCCAGAATACATATTGGCCACCGTTTTACAATAAAATACAACATTTCTTTATGTGTTAGAGTGGTTTCCATGGTAACTTAATGATTCTGTGTTTGAGTGCCTCACCCTTCCCAGTATGCTCACTTTAACTTTACATTTACTAAAACCTGCTACATTGTGTTAAGACCATGTCGAGTAAAGCGCCTCTCGACCTATTGTACCCACTGTGACGGACATGATATAAATACCCACAACGCCTCATCAATTTCTAAAGTTCATGTCATTCTTTATCACATTCTTATCAAACAACCGGTTACCAGAAACAAGAACACACTGATTCTTTTAATGGTGTGATTTTGATTAAATTTATTTGATTTCGAATTTTGAATGACATGGTCCAATTCTTTATTGTGACTGGAACTCAGTAGTTTTTCATTAACTGGACAAAATATGTCTCATTGATTTTCTAACGCCAGTACAAGACGAAGAAAAATGACGATTCATAGCTATAACAACATCAGGAAAAATTATTCTACAATAGACTTGTGAGCTGTATCACATGTGATATGTATACAGTCACAGTAGAACTATTGACTTGATTTTAATAGTGTTATCCTGACGACACAGTAATTTGGTTGATGTATTTCAGCATTAACAACATCGACGATAAACCGTGGTGCTAATTCAACAGACCAAGGCACCATCACCAAGCTGTATAGATGTGAGAAGTGAACAGTATTTTCAATCCTACGTGGCTTTTGAGAACTTAGGTAGCTCCAAACGACAAGAAAATGAATATG